GTGTGAGGCTAGATCCTGAAGGTTGCTTCAGGTCCCGGCTTTTGGAAGATTGGGCAAAGGTGAGGGGAATTGAGATCTTCCCGAATCCCGGCGAGGCCCATCACCAAACTGGGCTGGCTGAGGCCCTTATTGGAAAAGTCAAGCAGGATGCTATGACGCTACTACACGGTGAGCAGATGGAGCCATTCAGAGCGATGCTGAACGTGGTGGCGGCGCACAACACGCTGCACAGAAGACAGGGTTTCTCCCCTGCCCAATGGTGCTTTGGGCGAGACTTCACGATTGATGGGAGATTGTTTGAGTCCGAGCAAGCGGTGCCAGTTCTGGAGGGTATGAATGATCCTCGCCATGCTTTTGGAAAGAATATGAATGTACGACTGGCGTCGGAGGAGACCTACAGGAAGTCCCCGGCCTCCTTCCAACTCAGCAGGGCGCTCAACATGAAGACGCGGCCACAGCGAGTGTATCTGCCCGGGGACCTCGTCTACTACCGGAGGGAAAAGGCCCCTGCGGACAAGCCAGCTCATGAAGAGTTGGGAATCCCAAAGGCCAGAATGGCGAGATGGTGGGGACCTGCACGAGTGCTTTCGTCGGAGACTAGGTCTGATGAGATTACACGACGGCCTGCCCAGGTTGTGTGGATAGTTGCAGCAGGGAGGCTAAAGAGATGTTCTCCTGATCAACTGCGACATGCTTCCGAGCGAGAGGTGATCCTGGCGAACTCCACCCACGACTCGATCACTCCTGGATGGACCTTTCATTCCCTACTACAGGGAATGCAAGCGGGGAATTTCGATATCTACGACAACTATCAGCTGCCAGAAGACCGAGCTGCCATCGCTCGGAGAGGACCTGTAGGAAAGGCCCCGAGATCCAGGACCCCTGCAAGAGAACCCAAACAACGGAATCAAGAGCCTGATGTGCCCACAAGAACGACAAGTCAAGAGCCAGGAAGGCCGTCAAGAGCTGCCACTGCTGGCATCGAGGACAATGGTCCCGTAGCAGAAAATAGCAGTCGTGTAGCTTCTGGTCCCGTAGCAGAAAGTAGCAGTCGTGTAGCTTCTGGTCCCTTAGCAGAAAGTAGCAGTCGTGTAGCTTCTTGTCCCGTGTTCAGCCTAAGGTAGTATCTGCAGGACCCAGGATACGACCCTGATTTGTTTAGAGATGCCATGGAACGAAGGGCAGCAACCGCACCTACGTCAGAACTAGAAGGGCAACCGCTGTTCAAGCAGGCACATGCAGCTCATGAACAAGCAGATCGTCCTCATCATGTCATAGTTCGGCAAGAGCAGCAACGATCAGCATCGAGTCACTTTGTTGAGGATCTTGCTGTGGGGGACACGGTGATGTGTGCGTTCAACGTGGAGCTGCCCAAGAAGGACAATCAGTGGAAGAAGATGTCTCGTGATCCTTCATCGTGGCTGGTCAAGGGACTGCGAAAGCAAGAGGTCAACCTTAGGAAAGTCACTCCTGAGGAGCGTGCTGGCTTCGAGAAGGCGAAGGAGGCAGAGGTTGAACAATGGGTCAAGGACGCGGCTGCGAAAAAGGTGTCGGAGCACATCCCCAAGGACCGTGTGATGCGCATGAGATGGGTCCTTACGTACAAAGACACCGGGGCACCGAAGGCGCGGATGGTGGTCGTCGGTTACGAGGACCCCGACTTGGAGACGCTGGTGAGTTCGTCGCCGACTATGAGTCGAAGGACACGTCAGCTGTTTTATATGATGACGAAGTACATGAGAGCCAACTGCAGCGATGTGTCTATGCCAGACCGCCAGCAGAGTTAGCACGAGCTATGGGTGAAAGAAGGTAAGAGCGCCTGGTACGTGACCGGCGTTTTGTGGCGTAGCTGAAACAGGCAATGTGCTAAAACCTAGGGAAAACATGTATTATGACTAAAAAGTTGTGCTAGGAGAGGCGGAGAATCCCTGTGACAGGTCGATCGTTTTAGCGAAAAAGGTGTTGCCGCTGCAGTAAAAGCCACTTTTGCGAGCACCGCGCTGCGCAAACTTGGTCTGAGTGGACGTTAATATGGTTGACCCATGCATGGATGCTCTGCGTCAATGAGATCTGGTCTGAGTGGACGTTAACATGGTTGACCCATGGATGCTCTGCGTCAATAACATGGACCACCCATGGATGGTTTCGACGTGGGTTGTAGCAAGTGCCGAACACACTGTAATTACCGGTATGTTCGGCATATGACCCTAAGGAAACATTGGGCCTGCCTGCGACAGAAGTCCGCAGTTCTGGGAGTTAAGGGTCGGGACTGGCCGGAATTAGCCCCCCCCCCACCCCCCACCAACACCCCCCCCACCCAAGAAAAGTGAGGGGACGTACAGGACGCACACCAGGCGCTCTCACCTGAAAGAAGGAGAAGCTGTACAGCTGGTAAAAGCATGCTATGGCCTGGTGAATGCGACTCCCTAATGGGACCACCAAACTTTTAGGTCTGGTGGTAGCTCATGTAGATGACTTTCTGCTGGCCGGGGATGAAACGAGTGAAAAGTGGCACGAGGCTGTGAGCACCTTCTACCAGAAGTTTCGCTGGAGCCCGTGGGAGGTGTCCACTTATAATCACTGCGGAGTCCGAGTTCAAGAAACTCAAAGCGAGGTGATCCTGGACCAGAGCACCTATTGCGCTGGACTAGAGCAGATCAAATACGAGAAAAGGGATGAGAATCTGCCTGCCTCGCCTGACGAGATCTCCCAGCTGAGGGGACTGTTAGGAGGCATACAGTGGAGAGCGTACTCCACAGCGCCTCAGCATCTAGCGATGTTGAGTCTTCTGCAGTCTCAGGTCTCAAAGGCCACAGTCCACACACGGCAGCAGGCGAACAAGTTGCGCAGAGAAGTTTTCAACCAAAGACACATGGTGATCAGAGTGCCAGACTTGGGCGTGAACGCCGAGGATGTGACATTTGTGGCATGGTGTGATGCTGCAGTTGGGAACCGTCCGGATTTGTCGAGCACGGGCGGCTACATGATGGCTGCCACGACGCCATGTGTACTTGACGGAGAAGTGGCACCCATGATCCCGGTTGCCTGGCGATCTGGAAAGCTGCCTCGAGTGGCTAGGTCGTCACTCTCAGCAGAAACGCAAGCCTGCAGTGAAGCTGAAGAAGAGTTGATGTACCTTCGAGTTCAGTGGAGCGAGATGTGTGGACGAGAAATCGACCTGGCGAAACCAGGTCCGACCGCCAAGGCCATCAGAGGTGTCATGGTCACCGATGCTCGAAGCTTGTGCGATCTGTTGCACAAGCAGGACCTGAACTCTTCGGCCGGAGGACTGAAAGAGAAGTACACCGCACTGGAAGCCCTGAGCCTCTTAGAAAGACTTCAGCAAACCAGCACAGAAGTTCGCTGGGTGCACAGCGATGCTCAAGTTGCAGACGCAATGACGAAGCCGAACCCGAGCGGATCGCTCTACGCTTTTCTGACATTGGGAAAGTCGCGACTGATATATGATCCTACTTTTACTAGTGCGAAGAAGCTCCGGAAAGGCAAGGTTTTTCATCAGTAGCCTTTTGGGCGTGTTGTTTTCGGAGGCAAAGTCGCTACAAGTACCCTTGTCCGCATGCTTGTATAGAACGCATGCCAGTGCTGATTGCAAACCTCGCCATCCCTGTACATGTCGGTTCGAGGAATTCCTTCAGCCTAACTCTTTTTCCAGAGACGCTACGAGAGCATTGCGCCATGGCATGAAAACATTGGTGACTCCGACGAGGCCTGCACAGGCTTTGCTGTCACTTGTGGTTTGTGGGTTCAGCCATTTGAACCTTTGTTTGCTACCAGAACATCGAGGCTAAACAAGATCAGGGCTCAGACTTTGTTGAGTCGTTGGTCACAGCTGAGCTGCCGGAATCTAATCAGAGTGCAGGCTTTTCGGGATGCTCATTGCAGGATGGGCTTATTTGATTAAGCGTGCTTAAGCGATGGTTGTTTCTCGGCGATGAAGTCACACCAGGTGGCATCACTTCGAAAGGGCAGCAAAGCGGCACAAGACAGGCTTTCACAAGCCTTGCTGGCGAAGGATGTGGATTCCTCGGCTATGGGATTCCGTTATCCTGGACAAGGATTGATGTAAGTTATGTCGCAGCATCCGGGGGAGATCTGCCTAGTTGCTTGGCCGACCCGCGAGATCTTGAGAGTGATTCCGGGGAATGAAAGAGACAGAAACAGAAAGCAGCTCTCTCTCATCCACCAAGCATGCCCGCGATCTCAAGTTTGTTCCGTGTGCGTGTATCTTTGAGCAGTTGTCGCGCAGACCCCAGTTGCACAACCTTCTTCGAAAGATTGCACTGCATGCGTGATTCAGTGCTCAGCATGATAATTCGCTTATTGTTGCCTCGCGTCGCTTCCTGGTTCAGTTCAGCCTGAACCTTCTTCCGAGGTTTGGCGCCTTTGTGCAGAGGCCTTCTGGGCTCATTTGTCATGTCGAAGTAGAATTCAGGATATCCAGGCCGTTGCCTTCAGACTAATGCTGAGATGCGCTCCCTTGACAAAGGGCTGAGGCAGCCAGTCAGGTAGTCGTTTGCCACACCGGAAGTTGCTGACCACAAGCTGGACAGCATGGTGTCAGCACAGACAGGGCAAAGCCCAGAGCGCGTAAGTGTTGGAGGCATTGTCGACTCAGAGGCTGAGCTTCGATGGAGAAGTCGACTCCTTCGTGAGGGTCTTTTGCGCCGAGAGCTCATGCTCGGCTTTAGAGCCTTAGAGCGCTGTCGGAGCCTCGAGCCTCCCTTTCAGCTTGCGCTGCGAGGCATCGCGGCTGGCCAACTTGGCAAGGCGCCTGCCTGCCTGGTGTCCGAAGGTGCGGGCCCGGGCTCTGCGCAAGGCAAACGTAAGCTATTGGCTACTGGCGTAGGCGTATCCCCGTGAAGCCCGAATCAGTGGGAAAGTTTGGCGATTGCGCTGCCAAAAGCTTATTAATATATAGCATATATAGCAGAAGCCATGGTTGGATTGAGCAGGACGAGCTGCAATGTTTTCGCGAAGCCATGCAGCTGCTTCTGTGTCAACATCCTGGTAAGTGTGAGCCCCGGAAGATACAGAGCTTCGCTGCAGGCGTGCTTTGCAGATGCAGCGGGAGAGTGACGTTGGGAAAAGCTGGCCTCAGGACTGCTGTTCTAACCCCGATGTGGCGCCCTTAGCTTCCGCGGGCCGAAGTGTTTGCCGCACAAGATGGCCGAGTCATTCGGAAGACGTGCACAGGGATGATGGGAAGATGCAGTTTGACGTTGTGTCTTCGAATCCAGCTGTCTAGCCTGCCCTGCGTGGCCACATGTGGCCAACCTTCAGCATCTTTCAGCTCATCCAATCGGTGTGGGAAGCAGGACATGCCGCTGCGTGTGCACAGCACATGCATGGATACAGGTCGCTCGCCGGATGGTGTGTGCGGCCCAACGTTGTTGAGTTGCGCAAAAGCAAGACATAAACGCAACGCTGGCCCCCTCACTACATGTCTTACCCCGGCGACATGAGTTTTATTCGGGCCCTACGAAGGTGCATGAGGCGAGCAGGCCCTGCGAAACACAGCAGTTGTGAGAGGAGGTCGTTTTTGCCAGTTCTTCCCCAGGCCCGAACCTTCTCCAGTGCCAATCGAGGCATGGCCGCACTGCGCGTGTCGCATCCCTTCCCTGCTCCGCCTGGCGAGAAGGCTCCTCAGCACTGTCTTGGCCCTTCCCGCAGCGAGCGCAGAGGAGACGCACTTTGCAGCTCTCTCGTGCACTGCTCTCACAATGCGTGGCTCTTCGTTGCTCGCCTTCAACGTCGTCGCGATGTGACCATCCCAAGTGCCCAAGTCCTGCGGATACCAACCTCGAGCTGAGGCTCTGACTAACCTTTCGCCCGCTGATCCGGCCTTCGCAGTCACTTCGCGGTCCTCCCGTCTTGAGCAGATGGATTTGCTCGTGATTCAACTTAAACGATCTTAAACGGCTTTTACGTGTTTCGCAGGATTTCATGAGGTTTATGAACACAGCAGACCGAATATGCCAAACTTGTATGAGAGTGTTCACGTTGCTCCACGATGCTTCCAGTAGTTTCGAACTTCTACGCTTTGCACCCGCGAATCAGTGCAAAGAAGCCGGCACTTCGCGACGACAGTGTTGTTGCAAACACAGCCACGACTCAGTCAAGCAGTAATGCATTACCGCTCAAATCCACGGTCGAGTTAGGCGTGATCCGAGCGTGTGGTTGGAAGGTTTAATACTTTCGCAGGCTGCCTGAAAATGCTCATGGCTCAACAGGCCGTTCGACCCATCCATGTCCGCCTCGTGGTGAATGACGTTCTTCGGCCTCCGTTGCAAAGCGCATAAAAACACACCGGTGGGGCGCCGATCGGCCCATGCCGACTTCGTTGCCGCTTGGGGGCATGCTTGGGGGAACGTCAGTTGTTGGACCAGCCCCCCTCGCTGCCGGACAACGTGAGTGGCTGCCACATACGCCGGGCCTCGCCCCCGAGTTGCAAACAGTGCTTCCGCATGCGCCCGCTCGCGTGACCAAGCCGTGTTGGAGACTTTGCTTACCGCGCTGCCAGCCTCGCGCCGCCGCTCCGGGCCGCTGCATGCGCAGGATGGATCCAGCGCTGGTCCTGCCTCCTCGCTTTGTCGCGACGCAGTGTTTAAAAACTAATTTCAAGTTTCCACAGGGGTGCAGCGCATCGAAAAAGGGTTCATGCACAACTCGCCCCGGAAACAGTTGCTGACCAGCCAGCTACCGGCCAGGAATCCCTCAGTTTGTTGAGGGTCTGGAATGTTTCCTTTACAAGCCAGGATGGAGAGGGTCTGGGGTCTTGGCCCGAGCATAGTAGACCTTCGAGGCCTTCGATTCTAGACCCTCGGTTTGGGGGAGATAAGTGATTCGGCACTATACGGGACAGCATCAGCAGTCATCAGGGGGCCGAATAGCTCCACCCACCTTTAGAAATTAAACTTCATGGGGGGGCACAGACGTGTTTCATTTCGGTTTCATGTACCGTATCTGGGGACCACCTTTTTTGTGACATTGTTCATTTTTTCTGACAGTGGGCCTTTTTTTAGCAGTGGGTCTTAGTTCTACGTACCCCAGCGGGGGCACGTCTTCGTTTTGACAGTGAAAAACTTCTTTCTGGCAGCGGGTGCTTTCTTTCCGAAAGCGGGTGCATCTTCTTTTCGATCGGCTATCTTTTTTCTGACAGCGCCAATCTCCATTCTGACATCGCTCCGCTTTTGCACCGGGGCGGCTTTAGGGGCTTTAAGATAGCCTGCCCACGTGTCAGCCGCACTGCAGCGGAGTTCTGCATAGCGGTTTTCTGTGCATAGGCCATGGCACGGTGCAGGATAACGGCGGAATGCTGCGATGCTGCGCAGCGTCCTTCCACGTGTTAGAGACACATATGAGCGCACCGTACACCGGACGACATGCCGTTTCGAGGTGAGTGACGACACATTCACCGCATGTGTTTGTTTTTCCTTGAACAGTTCTGGCAAAGAGTGCTTCGCGAGGTGGAAAGTACCAAGCAAGTTTGTTTGGAGCACAGCGCTCAATGCTTGTACCCCAAACCGCGACACGTCCTTTGTGTGGAAAGTCGGTGCTTGCATCAAGTCCATTGAGGTCACGTTCTGTCCACGATATTCATATGAACATTATTGATAGTACTTGGTCCCGGGGCTATCTCGTATCACCTGGGTGTTTTACGCATCTGCAAGGCGTCTACTTCGGGGAACGCATTATAAACGTTATATCATCTTATCAAGCTCTGTATCTTCACCTTCATATTCTTCGGCGTCCGCAGCACGCTCTCGCATTTGTCAGTGTCAGTGGGCTTGTGCGCGCTCATCTTCGCACTAGTGTGTGCTTGTGTATTGCAGCTTATGTATTAGACATCTGTATACATTTGCACTGGTGCGGTCTGTGCCTGTCGGTTTTTGAAGCCCAAAGAGTCTTCTGCTCACATCTGCGTCGCGCAGGGTCACGCGGGACTCGCGTAGGACTATAATATAGCGACCTACTCACCACCCATTTTTCAGGGTTGCTTTTCATGCTTCCGTGGCGGGTTCAGGCATCCTCTCAGTCTTATACTAGTAGCATGCCACTTTCAAATCCCAGCGTCTATTTGGCAAACGCACTGCTTTCTTATCTTGGAATGCTTCCAAATGTAGTATATACCTCAGCGTCCGCAACAAATCCGGCACTTTGGCCTACCTTGTGGCGGCACACTGTTATCCTAGTACTGCCAAACTGCGAGTTTTTTTAAATAGCACTAGTGGTTTTGGTCTCACTAGTATTACTAGTATCGCAGCACGCAGAGACTTGCAGGTGTTGGGATCTCGAGGACGAGGGGAGGATCGATAATTTCATTCGTTGATAATTGGCGTGTCGGGGGTCTGTAGGTCCTGTAGGTGTGCTGTGGGCCTGGGGATAAAGAATTGAGCAAGGAAATGGTTTCGGGACCCTTCTGGCTGATTCTAAAAATCCAACAAGGCAACAAGCTCGAAGTTTCAGGGGGTCTCGACGGACATCATTCGATTGTCCGAATTTCACGTCAAAGCTTTTCATAGTGACTTCATGTTTGCAAATGGGCACGGCCCTTTTGTTGAAGCCACGCAAGCTTGCCTTATGACACAACATCGTGGCTGCACGAGGCGCGGTTGTTTAAAGATCGTTCTGCATGCTCACACTCTGCTGTACCAAAAGAGCAGGCACCGTCCTATGCATACATTCTCTTTTGCGCTGCAACGGGCAACAGAGCGGTTAGCCGAAGGTTGTTGTTCGTTTAAAGTCGAACCAGCCTTTGCCGGGGCGGTTCGCTCCCTTCGGGCATTGGAAAAGCCTCTGCCGCCACCAAGGCCCGAAGACCAGGGAGGGCGGGAGGGCCAAACTTCAACTGAGCCGAAAAGTCTTGAGACACATCGGCTCATTCACTTGCAGAACTCCATGTTATCGCTAACGAGCAAGTTCTGCATGCTCACACTCTGCTGTACCAAAAGAGCAGGCACCGTCCTATGCATACATTCTCTTTTGCGCTGCAACGGGCAACAGAGCGGTTAGCCGAAGGTTGTTGTTCGTTTAAAGTCGAACCAGCCTTTGCCGGGGCGGTTCGCTCCCTTCGGGCATTGGAAAAGCCTCTGCCGCCTTATCTAATTTACGCAGCGAGTGTATGCAGGAGTTCGGTTCCTTAGAAGACAGGGAAAAGGGACTCACAAACGACTTGCAAAAGAAATAGGGCGGAACGCCAGGCCGCCACTGCACATCGGAGCTTTCAGCTCCCATTCCGGCGGAACGCCTGCTTACAGGGCTTACTCCCGAAGGCTCCATAGAGCTTCAGAGGTGGAAACCATCCACAGCGGAACGCCGTGCTGAATCGTCAGCAGGCAAATCGTTCTCGGCTGGGGCGGTATCACCTGCAGCCTCACCTCCCTCAGACGTCGCAGAAGGGGCTGAGGGGTGAGCTTCCGGCTGATCGTGCCCATGATCCGGATCCACTGGCCGCCCTGCTGCTTGATCTTGTGCAGGATCGGACCGATGCGAGGGAGGTTCTGGCCGCCCGTCCGCGGTTGTACCCGATGGTGCAGAGGAGGTCCCCGTCGAGGTGCTCGCTGTAGGGCCCGAGGGAGGCGGTACGCCTGAAGGTGGCGGAGCGCCTGCGGATTTGGAAGCCGTTGTAGGTTCGGCTCTTTCCGCTTCCGCATCGACTCTTGCCTCCAAGTAGTCCAGGAATTGCTCCATGGTGTAGCAATTCCCCACCTCTTCTTGGGTCCATGTGACCCCCTGCCTTTCCAACCTTTCCAGCCTGTTGAGGAGATACAGGCGGTGAGAGCGGCCCAGGCTCATCATGGGCGGTAACGCCCTCACAGTTTGCGAGGGGGTCACTCGGGGCTGTAGCGCCACATTGCCTTGGGCCACTTGATGTTGCACCGCACGTAGTCGAGAGCGATGACGTTGGAAGGCTACCGCCATGGAGACCCCTGCATCCACGTCTTCCATGTACTTGGGGTCGTTCCGAGCGGTTTCATTGGAGGCTCTCACCTTGACATTGCTGGAACCCCCTTTGCCTTTCTGGCCTCGCAGCTGGGCGGTGCGCCTGATGGTGTCTGCCAACAGACCTCCCATCACCGCACTTGAGCTGTTTGCGAGATTCTCCAAGAGTGCCCTCTG